TATTCATCCATGCAACGTTAAATTGCTTCAACCATTCATATTGAACTTTCTTCAAATAACAAAAGAAAAAAGAGGGAGAAATTCAAAAATAGCCAGATTTATAACTGGTCATTCAAAAATAGCCGCAGTTTCAAAGTCATCGAAATTTAGCCAATTTTCATGTAAAGATAAATCTGAACGAAAATACTGTTCAAAATCCGGAAAACACTCCAGCATAATATATTGGAGTTCCAGCATAAGTATACTGGAACTCCAGTATATTATAATGGAGTTCCAGCATAAGTATACTGGAACTCCATCATATTATAATGGAGTTCCAACATAAGTATACTTGAACTCCAGCATAATATACTGGAGTTCCAGTATAATATACCCGTCCAGTATAATATGCTGGAAATTCATATACAGGTGCTCCAATCTCAAGTATATTATGCTGGAACTTTCCACGTGTTGGAGTTCCAGCATAATATGCTGGAAGTTTATACACTGGTGCCCCGATCTCCAGTATATTATGCTGGACTGGTCCCTGTTGCAGCAAAATAGTGGCTATTTTTTATTGACTTTGCAAACGCTGGCTATTTTTGAATGACCAGTCCGAAAACTGGCTAGCCCATGCAATTTTACGAAAAAAGAACGGACATATTTGGTTAGTGAATCACTAATATCTCGTCATGATCTTAAAACGAAATAAAACCAAAGTAAAAGAGAGGACCTTACCTTAAACTGATCTACAACGTTGTCTACCAAGCAACTCAACCTCCAAGTTTCTCTACTGCACGCAGACTTTTATCTCCAAACGAGGAAGAGATTGTGAGCTGTAGTGAGAGATGAGGGATGGAGAGATTGCAGCGTACGAAGGAAAGTTACGTTCTCTGGAGAAAGACGGCAGATTGAAAACATCAAGATTGACGTAGGGAAAAGAAANATATATATATATATATATATATATAACGTCATCTGGTCATGGGTCAATGTACATGTATAAATGAATGCAATGCATGAGAAGTACGTTAATAAAATCTTTCGGAATATCATAAGACCATTATGCCTTAGAGTAATATCATGAAGTAAACTTTTCTCAACTTACGCATTTTTCTGATACCCATGAACAGATGATAGAATAATAGGACACATGGGGAATCAAGAACATAAGCATCTCTAGCATTTCTATGAATATAGTCATTTATGGAAGTTGTGCATTTGCTTGTTTCTTTTGCATCGTATGGATCATGCCAAAAGAAAAGGAGGGATAGCCTTAACATACCTGAGCCGATTCTCTTAGCAATCCCTCTAACCCACGTCAATTGCGATAAAACACACAACGGCAAGATCAGAGTAGGGAAAAATCCGTATGATATTCTTGGAAAAGATTGCACCGTACTTCCTTAGAATCACAAAATTTCACGTTCCTAAGTATTAAGTAGTATTGTATAAGATTTGATTGTAGCAAATCACGTAAATATTTGTATGAAATTGGCCGGAACTCCATTTCACTTCATTGTAGAGATGCAAGAACCTTTCTTAAGTAATTTGAAGGGGGTTTTATTCTTAGTTCGTTTGGGCCCCACTATGTGATGACTTGGCCACAAATTTCTTTAAATGTGACACCTTTTATGTGACTTTAAGAGTCACCAATTTGGCCAAAACTTGCTGCCACGTTGGGGAGGCCTTTTAGGCTTATCCATCAACATATTAATTAATTAGCAATTCCTTAATTAACTTGGTAATTTCTCACTAATCCAATAATTAACCAATTATTCACATAATTAAGAATTATCTCAAATTAATTAAAATATCACTCATTTTTAACACACTTTATACATTATACTATCATGGTCATGTGGTACCTTGTATATAACACTAGTCCATAAATACCGGGTACTGTAGCTTGGACCGTATTATATTCCAAAATGACAACCTTCGATGAAACTCATTTTCTTCGATTCGCTTACCCTCTCACCTTCACGAATTTACTTATCACTTTGTTTAAAATAGCATATTATTTGTGACCTCAAAACAATCTCATTCCCGAGCTTGCGTCGATTAACTTACGACGAAACTTTAATATCCGAAAATACGGGAAGTAACATCTCATTCCTGAGCTTTCATCAATTCAATTATGGCATACTTTCTCGCGAAAACATGGGGTGTAACACATAACGCCTATGAACCTAGAGCTCTGGTAACAACTTGTCACGGCCCCAATTTCCCTCCGTAGGATGTCGTGACGGTACCTAGTCTCTAAGACTAGGTAAGCCTAACAAACATAGGGAAATAACTGAAACAATAATTTAAAACCTCAAAACCCAACAACTAATACAAGAAAAAGTCTCCACAACTCAATATATATATATATATATACAATAGCCCAAAACCCGGCGAAATAAAAGCCACAAGCTCTATGACAATATCAAATTCATACCTATACAACTTTATCTAGTAAAGAAGGAAAAACATAGAAATGGATATGAGGTGACTCCGAGGCCTGCGGACGCGGGCAGGTGTATCTTGAAGTCTCCAAATACGAACTCAGCTCACTGGTGCCGGGACTGATAGGAAGTACCTGGATCTGCACAAAAAGATGTGCAGAAGCGTAGCATGAGTACACCACAACAGTACCCAGTAACTGCCAAGCCTAACCTCGGTAGAGTGGTGATGAGGTAAGGTCAAGGACCTACTGAAAATAATAAGAAACAGGACGAAAGATTTAACAACATAATAATAATGACAGGGAAATGAAACAAGTAAGGAGTAAACAAGAGTTAGCTACACAGAATTTAGGCAAACAATACATCACGAAAGGAAACAAGACAACCAAAGACAAGCACAGCAAATAGAGAAGGATCAAAAAGGGTCACTACCGAGGTACCGCCTCGTAGTCCCAAATTACAAGAATAACTCACAATATTTCCTTATATCATCGCGGAGCCTATACATGCTGTTTAAAAAATTATTTTCTCGAAATAGCATCCCGCATTTTAGCCCTCCTTATCACACTACATGACTTCTAGTAGTTCCCCTACTAGCCACGCATATCAAGCCAACCTTATCTCACTACATGCATTTCAATCCTAAAACCTTATACCACCGCATACGTATCAATATCACAATGTATCAAAATCGCACCTCAAATGCCTAATATCACAACTTCCAGAGAAACCAAACAAATACAATATTTTCACAGTAAAGAGCCCATGGCTCGACTACAATGTACACAAGAATCTCAACAATAACAACCGGAATGGACAACTCCACATAATGGTATTTCACAACTTAACCCTTTGCCTCAATATGAATCACGGCCTTTATATCTCAATACCAATTTCAACAACAAGATATTCCACGATTTAACAATTTCAAGTAAAAAGTTCAACAATTAAGTAATGAATACAGAATAAAGGAAACAAGAATTTCAACTAAACATGTAGGGCAATTAGCATGTAAGAGAATAAGATAAGTAGACATGTGAAATAGACTAAGAATAATGAATATAACATGTTAAGATAACTCAATTACGACATGAAAGGAATCTACATAGCTAAAACCGATAATTTTCACATTTAGCACGTGTACACACTCGTCACCTTGCGTACACGGCTTCAACACATCACAATTATCACAAACAACACCAATCCTAAGGGAAAATTCTCCCACACAAGGTTAGGCAAGTCACTTACCTCAAATCACGCTATATCAAGCCACTAGTAGGCCTTTTCCTCGACTATCCAACTTTGTACGGCTCGAATCTAGCCAAAACAACTTCATACTATAAATATAAACTATACGAAACCAATTCAAACAATGAAATTACGATCTTTGCAAAGAATTAAAAAGTCAACTGGGGGCCCACACCTCGGAACCCAACCAAAATAACAAAATCTGAACACCGATTCGTTAACGAGTCCAACCATACAAGAATTACTCAAATCCGACCACAAATCGCTTTTCAAATCCTCAAATTTTAGCCTGAGAAGTTTCTACCATTTTTCCTCATTTTTCCAACTCCAAACACTAATTAAATGATGAAATTATCAATAGATTCATGTAAATAACCAAAACCGAGTTAGGATTCCTTACCCCTAAAGTTTTTCTTGAAAAACCCTCGAGAAATTGCATCCCACCGAGCTCTCTAAGTCCAAAACTGGATTATGAATCAAACCGTCGAAATTTCCCCTTTTCTGCCCAGCGGATCCGCTTCAGCGAGCCTTCCATCACATATGCGATGCCACACCTGCGGAAAAACCATCGCAGGTGAGGATTCCACTTAAGTCCAGAAAATCTGCTTCTGCGGAATTTCGACCGCACCTACGGTCCCTTGCTTGCTCACACCACTCCGCTCCTATGATGCCCATTCCGCTCTTGCGCTTCCGCTTCTGCGAAAAATAGACCGCACCTGTCGCACCTGCGGCCAATCCCTCCACAGGTGTGGTGACACCAGAAGCTGGAAACTTCAGCAATCCAACAAGTCTAAATTTTGATCCGAATTCAATCTGTTTTACCCCCGGGGCCCCTAGGACCCCGTCCGAATATGCCAACAAGTCCCAAAACACATAACGCATCTACTCGAGACCAAAAATCACGTCAAACAACATCGATTCTACAAATCACAACCCAAATTCAAGCCTATGTACTATGAACTTTCGAATTCCGAAACCAATGTTGATTCATACCAAAACAACTCCGATTGACTTCAAATTTTGTACACAAGTCATAAGTGACATTACGGACCTATTCCAATTTCCGAAATCGGGATCCGACCGCAATATCAATATAGTCAACTCCGGGTCAAACTTCTCAATCTTCCAACTTCTAGTTTTCGCCAAATCATGCCGAAACGACCCACGGACCTCCAAATCAATATCCGGACATCCTCCTAAGTCTAAAATCACCATACGGAGCTAGTGAAACCATCAAAACTCCATTCCGGAGTCGTCTACACAGAAGTCAAACTACGGTCAACTCCTTCAACTTAAACCTCCAACTTAGGGACTATGTGTCCCATTTCACTCCTGAACTCACCCGAAACTAAAACCAAACACCCCGATAAGTCGCATAACCACAATATAGCACAGAGGAGGCAATAAATAGGGGATCGGGGTTAAAATACTCAAAACGACCGGCTGGGTTGTTACAAGTGTAATCAAATCTGTTGCTGAAAAAATACATTTAGTTTGAACAAAAAATTTGATTCATTTGTTCTTGTATTTGAAGAACAAAATACCAGAAATCTGAAGTAAAATTGGGGTAAGGTGGTGCATTTCATATTGGTTTGGAATTGCAAGACTCCATTTTTTCCGGTGGGGAGTTCTGGTCAGAGAAGCTGTTGGACAGTAAATAAAACTTTTTCGATCTGAAATTTGCTTGGTTGGAGTTTGAAGCTTTTCTAATCTTTCTTTTTCTTGTCTGCGTTCTATTATAGGGCTGGCAGTGTATGCATACTAATTTATCTTGATTAGAATTGTAATTGGGATCAACTAAGTTAGACCTGTGGAGAACTCGATGACTATGGCAGCAGGAGCAGATCTGCAAAATTGATATAAGAAACTCTGATATAAATCAAAAATTGTTAATATGAATAAAAATTATTGATATCAATCAAATGTAAAAGGAGATCATATGGTATCCACAAATACACAAAAAGAGGGTTGCAGTTGCACCATTGATGAGGGATAATTGTAAGGTAATGCAATTAAAAAATGACACATGGACATATTTATCAGTTTTAAACTTATTTTTGGCCTCTCACATGCCTTCAAGAGAGTGAACTCACATTCTCTGTCACATCATTACTCAAGGATGTATTTATTTCACTTAAAAAATGTTCGGGGTAATAAGATAACTCCCCTAAAGGAAAAGTGTGTAGTTGAAAATATGAACATAATTTAGGGGAATCCTTATACATTTTTCTAAAATATATTTGCAATACGTTGTCCTCTTGACAGTCTCTTCGTCATTGTAAAGAATATTTTATACTATCAGGTCACTCACGCTCTAAACATCGGTCTAGACGTAACACGGCACCCGGTGCCTGACTACATGCGATCGAGCGAACCAACTGGCTGGTTGAATCAACATTTGATATCATAATATACGGAATGCAGAAGATGAAATAATACATGATGATACACTAAAAGTCTAAATGATATAAATCAAGTGCGAAAACACTAATATAAGTTTGAAAACATATCTATAGCCAACATTGTTTAACATGAAAAGCATGCGACTCTATCTAACTGTTACTCTAGTCTATGAAGCCTCTAATGAAGTACTGAAAATATTGACTGTATGTAAATACTGGAAGACTGTAAAGTAATGATAGAACCGAAAGAACAGGGGCTCACTAAAAAGCTGGTACGAGAATTCTAGTGCTCTGAATCTTCAACCTGTAAATCATTATCTGCATCGTGAGATGCAGGTTCCGGGCGAATGGGACGTCAGTACATTTGAATTTGCACTGGCATGTAAAACAATTGAAAGAAAGAACTGTATATACTGAAACTGAAATTGAATTAATATATGATAATTGATACCTTAAATGATAACTAATGTCTGAACAAAGGAAGTAAGGATATGAATACTCCCTCTTCAGAATGATGAACCACCTGTTTATCTGAATAATTAAACTACGGCCTCAGGCCCAAATACAGGTATTCAACATTCAGGAATTTAAATTCAGGGACTGAAAATCATACTGCAATATGTGATCCTGAAATACTGAATCATACTGAGTTACATGATACTGGAATACTAAATAGAACTAGACAGAGACATGTATTCATGAACTGATTATGAAAACTGAAACTTCAACTGTTTATGACATGTTGAGTAATCTAGACTGAGACTCATGGACATCAAACTCAACTCTATATTGATTACGCACTGAGCTCACAATGTTCAGAATGAAAGTCATGAACGAGTTACGAAGCTAGAGAATAAAAGTTCTGCAACTATTCAAGGAATTAGGCTTAACTATATTTCTGAGGCAATTAGTAACATTGTAAAAGAAACATAGTGTAGAGAAAATCATTTACATTCCCAAACATAGAGAGTAGCCTCACATACTTAACTTCCTGATCTTGAGCGTAATATAATATTCCCCAACCCTTTCAACTTTAATCTATATCAACACAAGTCAAAGGGATTTCGTACTAGCAATTATACTCATGTTTTGGTCACTTAGGCATTCTATCAAATACCTTATGGGCGTAAACCCTCATAGCCCTCATTAATTGTGTTTCTACACCCGACAATCCATTCTCTTGCTCTTAGATAAATTTTAAAATCTCAAATTTCTTATAATCAATACTAGTTTTTGGACACACGCGCTGCGCGTGTACCATTAAAAATATTCTTAACTTAAGTTTTTCCATGATCATTTAGTAAGAAATATAATGAGTAGCAAAAATTATAGTTGTATCTTTTACATTTTTATACATTAATTTTGAAATAATAATGCATTTTCAAACGGTATAGGAATCGTTCAATTATCTCTTCTATCAATATTTTGCTTTAAACATTAGCAAAGTAATGTTAAAGATTCTCTTTTAGAAGATGAATTAATTCACAAAGATGATGTAATCTTCATTAACTTATCTTTTAGAAAATAAATTATTGAACACAAAAGACGATTATGCACTTATTTTAAGTGACGTTAACAAAATGATACAATGAGTTGGATAAGAAATTAAGAAGTAGATCTTAGCCTTAGACAATAAACAAAGCAGTTTATTTGGACTTTGTATTACTTTTTCGTCACAACTCTATAATCTAAAAGGACCAAATATATGACTGCATAGATATAACATAATTCATAGATCAACTATGATTCAGATTAAAAAATGACAAGTTTTAAATTTTTTAAAGAAGAAATATTAAATGCTTTGAAAAGCTAAGAGAATCCACCACGTCCTCAAAGTTTCAAGAATCATAAGAAGTAATTTGAAGTAAAAATTCTTCTTTGTGTAAATATATTGCTATTATTGAGTAAATAGAACCGGCTATGCTAGCTATTGATTTATTTCAAGATGTTTATTTTATAGTTCATCATCTACTACTATTTGGTTAAAAAGTTATAGGAGTAATTGTACTTAAGTGAAGCGCAAAACAGTGACTTAGTTTTTAATTGTAATTTTAGGTTGAAGCAGTAGTTGTTTTTAACGGGACATACATTAATTTAACAGTACAAATATAGCACACTTATATCATATGCTAAGCCTAAAGGTGTGACGACCCAAAGGGTCATCACCTGTTTTCTTACTCATTCCGTGCTTCCGAGGCCTTAAAAACCTCATTTGTGTCTAGCATGACCGTGAGTCCTTATATTGTGAATATCCTGGTTTTGTTATAGCTTCCATACTTAATTGATGATTTCTATATGTTGTAAAGAGTATGTGAAAGGAAATTGTGATCTTTGAACTTCGTGGAGCGTTGGCTCGAGTTGAAATACAAATTGTGAAGGTATATGAGATATTTAAATCCTTGGAGCGTTGGCTCAAGTGATAATGTGAACTATGAGATGAAAGTGAAAGAAAGAGAAAGAGTTATTGGTTTATTCCCTTGCCGGGACGTTTCGTTGTTTTGTTGATTTTCTCCCTTGCCGGGACATGGAAATTTATTGATATTGTTCCCTTGCCGGGATTTAATTGTTTAATTGCATTCCCTTGCCGGAATTTCTATCATTATTTGTTTATTTTCTTGCCCCTTATTTGTGATTGTTGTTTGGGTGAGGAAGAGTGATAAAGCACGAAGGGTGATGCCGTGCATTGTATGATATTTGTGATCGGGTTGCACGCCGCAACAATGCTAAATGATATGGATCGGGTTGCACGCCGCAACAATGCTAAATGATATGGATCGGATTGCACGCCGCAACAGTGTTGTTACATATTGGGATCGGGTTATGCGCTGCAACAATTATTGATACAAGTGTGTTTATTTTGGATATTAGTTTCTTTGTTCGCCGTAAATTCTAAGCTGCCCTTAGACTGTTACTCTGGATTTACTGTTAATACTGGTATACCCCCGCAGTATGTTTTCCCCTCCCATCTTTACTTGTTTATTCCTGCTTTACTTTCCGCGGTATATTATATAATTGCACAGGTTTAATTGGTAGTCCGGTCCTAGCCTCGTCACTACTTCGCCGAGGTTAGGCTAGGCACTTACCAGCACATGGGGTCGGTTGTGCTGATACTACACTCTGTGCTATTTTGCATAGATCCAGGTTTTGGACAGCAGCAGCAGTAGCGTGGGAGCAGGCCTTCAGTCCAGCGAGACACCGAGGTAGCCTTGCAGGCGTCCGCAGGCCCGGCGTCTCCCCTATCTTTTACTTTAGACTGTTATCTCATTGTATTCGAGACAAACAGATATATTTCTTTCAGACATTGTATTTAGTATTCTTAGATGTTCGTGAGTATTGTGACACCAGTCTTGGGTAGAGGCTTATGTTGAATTCTTCCGCATTTTCATTCAGTTTTTTTGTTAATTTAAGACTTCCGCTTATTTAGTTAAATCAGTTGCTTTTATTTTAATGCTGATAAGTTATTAAAAAGGATTATGTTGTTAATGATAAAGTAATTAATGTTTGGTTTGCCTAGCTCCCAATAGTAGGCGTCATCACGACTCCCGAGGGTGGAAAATCCGGATCGTGACAAAATGTTACAAAAATCATACGTATTTATTTTGATGTATTAATTAAAAAATTACCTTTCTTTTCATGTATGAATATGAGTACATTATATGCAGAACCTATCATAAACGAACTTGTTTTGATTCTATTTGTAGGCAAAAAAATTGAGGGACATGATGGCCCTTAATTAGGCCATTACTTATTGGTACAAATACATTAAAGAATTGGTGTTTAAGTAAAGGAGAAAACGGCATTCCATAATTGCTTGGCATTTTTGTAATCTAATTGTGAGCTTCCTTGCGCGTGTATGCCTTATTAATAAAATAAAAATTTAAAAGTACATAGTAACATCAACAAATTTGTTTTAGTTTATAATAAAAAAAATAAATATTGATCCTATTTATCTAATAGGACAAAGAAGGAAAAACTTGTCTACATTTTTATCATTTAATTTGTAAATCAACTTGCTCCCAAGTTTGAATATAGAAAGAGATAACGAACCATTCAAAAATTGGGGCGACAACAATTTATTGAGAAGAACAACGAAGAGAAAATCGATACGTGCAATTTGATTTTTATCTCTATGTGCTTAGTGCACTGCTAGAAATTCAGCAAAAACCGACCAAAAGTTGGTCGGTTTTTCAAAATATTTTATTTTTTAATTTTTTTTTACGAAACCGACCAACTTTGGTCGGTTTTCTTTGGTGTAAAAATGCGGGAAACTATTTTTGAGTCCCGCAAAAGTTATTTTTCAAGAAACCGACCAACTTTGGTCGGTTTTTCAATTAAAATAAATAAAATTTAATATTAAAATAACCGACCAACTTTGGTCGGTAATTTTATTTTTTAACAAATGGTCGGTTATTTTCGTGCGAAAATACAATTAAAGAGTATAGATAAATAAATAATAAGACAATCTTAAAACAAAATGCACCAATGGTCTAGTGGTAGAATAGTATCCTGCCACAGTACACACCCCGGTTCGATTACCAGATGGTGAATCTTTTGATTACTTAATTAAAATACCGACCAAAGTATTGCAAAAATATTGCAATACTTTGCAATTAAATTCAAAAAAAAAATATTGCAAAATACCGTCCACACATAAATGATCGCGTTTGGCCGGGTAAATGACCACAACCGACCAACGTTTGTCGGTTTTTTTGGTCGGGTTTTGGCGGATTTCTAGTAGTGGTGCAAGGTCTGCATATCTCATAGTGCCAAACTTAAGCTCACTGCTCACCAGAAATAAGTGCATCCAAAAGAAAGACAAATAGAAAGAACTTTACACCCAAAAGAACTGCTATAGTGAAAATGCCAATCTTTTTATGATGTTAGTAGATACAGGTAGCTTCATATTATTTTGCTTTCTTCCAGTATCATGTCATGGCGAAGCAAAGTATTCGCTAATATTTTGTAAAATTGAAATATGAAATAGTTATAACGCAATTTTTCTAATTCATGTAAATTGCAAGTACGGCATTGATCCGTCGTTATTACAATTCTGATATATGAATTACACAAAAATTATAATTAGTTCTGAAAAAATATCATTTATAGAATGAATCGCTAAGATTTTAGTATCACGTATAAATCAATCTAAACATAAATATGATACTGCAAAATACGACAACTCTTTCTTTTGTCACGCTAGCACCTACTTGGTCATTGTGTTCTAAAATTATACTTCCATTTTATAACCTTTTACGCATCATTCCTTGTTAAAAAACTCTAACCAACTGTTTCATAGGATTATAACTATTGTTTAGATACTCCAAAACAAAAAAAGAACATCAAATTTTTTTCGTCCCCTTAATTTTTTCTCTTTTATTTCCTTTTTTATTTTCTAAATAAAGGACTGGCATTCTCTAAAGGGCAAAAAGAACGAATTAAAATGGAAAAAAAAAACCATGAAAACCAAGGCTAAGGACTCTTTCTAGATCGAACGAGAAAAAGAAAGAAAATGAGCACAAAAGGTTAATATGTTCTTACTTGCTCATGGTGATGACTGTTGCTTGACGCCATTGATCGATTGACAGGAAAGGAGAACTTGGCTTCTTCACTCTGTGTTATCCAAAGTCAAAGCACATAGTTGCAAGATATTTAGGTCATAACGAAACAACCAATAACAAATATTAACAATGATGGGAATGAAATTCAGCAAATTTAGCTATAAAAAAAAAATGCAGTTCAATTTTAAATAAAAGAGATATCACACCTTGAAATGGAATAATTCATCCACCACCTTTAACTCCACGCCATAAGAAATTTCGAGCTTTCATATATATTACCGACTTCTCTCTTCTATAGTGGATTACTTTGGTTCAAGATTTCGTTGAATTGATAGACGTTTTTTTTTTGGGAATTGTGTAACAACAAAATAAAAACTGAATGAAGCTGGCAAATAAGAATTTATAACCCATTAATTATCTATTTTTAACCTTTCACGTTTTGAGATACTTACCATTTTCATGCATCATTAGATAGCAATGAAGAGGGTGGTTATTCAGATAAGACTTTTCATTCTGTAAATGAATCTGGCCTATAGTTTCTACTGAATACGTTAAAACGCTTCAAATTCATCAGTTTTGTATTAACAAAGAAAAGTTCTTTTCCTAATTTAATTTTTATTGTTTGTTATCTTTATTTGAATGTGCATTTACATCTTAGTACAAAAATGTTACTGGAATAGTTTTTGATTGAGGGGCAAAATATCATTTAGTTTTATGTGGGCACTTTACTCTTTCAACTCTCACTTTGAATGTTCTCACTTATAATATAGTACGATATGATGATCATTCTTCATCACCCATAAGATAAATAACACCCTTAACCAATAATCAACAATCAACAACCCAAACTTATAACCGTTTATGCTTTTCTATCAAACCCATCAACTCATATCTCATAAACTTAGAGTCTAGAATCATTAATCCAATGTTATAATCAATTAAAGGGTGAAGATATTACCTTTTGACGTTCAATCCTTTTGAATTTGAGTTCTAGGGTTTCTTCTCTCAACAATGATGTCTCGATCGAATATCTAATAATTTGAAGGGTTTTCCCATGTTAATAAAATGTTGGGGAATTGAAATTAACTTAGAATCATTAGAACTTACCTTGGATGGTATAGGGACCTCAGAAGAAGTTGGGTTCTTCAGAGCTTCCCTTTCTAGAGCAAGTTTTTGTGTTTTGGGGTGTGGGGGACGAGGTAGGGCTTTTAAAATGACCCCGGGGTGCGCTTCCAAGCAGCTGAAGGCCCAAACTTGCACTTGAATATGCAGCAAGGGCAGTGGCATTGCCACAAGTGCGTTTATGTGCACGGGACAACTGGGCGCGCCTGAGCACGCATACTATGCATTGTCTAGTAAAATATGCATAACTTTTTGTTCGGAGATCCGTTCAGGCTCCACGATATATCGTTGGAAAAGTATTTCAAAGTGTTATAACTTTCATGTTTTAAGTTTTCCCAAATTCCTAAAATATTTTCACGAAATCTGACAGGAATTCAAACATTATATAAACTTAGTCAATTTTATCGAATCTTATGCACCTCACTCTCTGTGTTGATTCCAAAAAAACTATTCCCACCCATACTCATCCCGATAGGATTTCATGTGTCTAAAATATCAAGTTAATACTCATTTAACACATTTACACATAGTCCGAATTTACAGAGTGCTATAACCTAACGTATATCTATAGGTAAATCTCATTAAGACGTGAGATTTGTAATCTTGGAAATAAGACACACTACCTGCTACAACAGGTAAAAGTAGCAACAACAACAACAACACGCCCAGTAAAATCCCACTAGTGGGGTCTGGGGAGAGTAGAGTGTAACAGGTAGTGTAAATATTATTTACACGGATGGTGCATATTATTACTTAAAACTCTAAATTGTAGACTAAAATTTGAAATTGGGAAATTGAGAGCTGTTTGAAGGCATATTATTAGGTGATAGAGTTGAAGTCAAAGAACGGAGTTGGTCACTTGGCTGTATTTTTCCAGAAATTGTAGGAGGAAGAACAAAACCAGAAACTTACCAACTTTCAATCATTAATTTTCAGCACACCAACCCCTCTACTCTATATTGCCACATCTCTTTGATGGTATTGATGGTATGTGGATGAAACCAATTTTTTCTCATGTATTCATGCCCTTTCTAACAGGATATTATATGAGGTCTTTGCATCGACCACTTGCATCCATGCACTCAAACGTATATCTTTCATATTTATTTTCAATTTGATAGCCCCTATAGCTCTTTGCTCTCCAGGACCTATTGTTAAAAATAATGAATTACTATTTTCATTAACAGCATTTAACGCCCCCCTTGATTGAACCCTTGAATCATCAAACGAATTTCACATAGTTCATCCATCGGTATGCGAAGCTCTTTGACAGTACGAATTGGGAGGATATTGACGCCAGATCCATCATCAATCAAAAGTCTACTTATTCTCTGCTCATGCACAAATCCAACCATAAACAGGGGACGATTATGGTGTATTTCACCAAGCAAAAAATCATCATTAGTAAATGTGATTTTTGCATCACAAATGTCCACTTCTTCAGAGAGATGCTCAGTCAGTTTTTCAGACAAGGGAGGTGGCAGCAATGACGGATCTTCCTTATTTGTCTCTTCTTCATCTACCTTACAACATGAGGCCTTGATATATTCACAGGAAGCTTACGGGCGTAACCAGCTTGGCAGGAATTCATCCAATATTACTAGACGATGTAGCCTTTGATAGTGATTCTTCTGCATTTTTATTTTCTTCCAGTTCTTCTTATCATTTTCTTCTTAGGTCTTTTCACCATTTTCCCTAGTCAATTGCTTACTTGACTCCCTTTGTTAACTTGCCTTGCAGCGTCTCCACCGAGTCACAAGAATCCAACCTTCATCATCAGATCTTTCTTCCACTATTAATTTATCCACTATAGGGAGAAGCAACGATTTGCTCACATCTATAGGTTCAAAGTCACCAAATTTAATCATATTTGGTGATGATGCAGTTTGCATGCCATCACATTCATGTACTTCGAAATAACTGCAAAGGATAATGGGATCGAGTGAACCAAAAATGGCAGAGACTTGATTCGAACTTTCCTTCTCATCCTCAAGTAAGATTTTTGCTTCAGTGGCCAAGTCCATGACTTTATCCTTGAAGATAAAGCACATTTCAATAGGGTGGCCAATCAACCGATGGTACTTGCATAATTTGGATCATTAGTCCTTCCAGCTTCGTCTGGATGCTTCATTTCAGGTAACTCAATGAGTTTCAACTCAAGGAGTTCTTCAAAAATTGTTGGAACATCGGAGTCCAAGAATGGATATTTTTTCGCTTGTGTTTCCTTTAGAGTTAACTTTCGTCCAGCTTTATCCTGCAAGGATGTTGTCTTTAGACTTTGCTTCTTACTCACTTTTGTAGTGACCTTTAATGGCGAGGAATTAACATTCATTGATTCCGTGCTCTCAGACTTCGGTACAAATTTGCCTCCTTTCTTTATTTCTTGTTTATCCTTCACTTGGGAGGTTCATAAACAGGTGGCCCTTGATTTCCACTTGAAGACATGCTTAAATCATGAGCACGTGTAAACAATTCTTCAAAAGACTTAGGCTTGATACCCTGTAGGATGTAGCGAAGTCCCCAATGCATTCCTTGGATACACATTTCTATTCCAGAATCTTCAGTAAGTCTGTCTTTATAGTTGAGGCTTGCATTCCTCTGTAGATTGGTGAAATCAACAACTGGTTTATCATTCCATTGACGCGTGTTTGTGAGTTCAACCATACTTACAGTACGCCTTGTACTATAGAAATGATTGAGAAATTCATGTTCAAGTTGATCCCGGCTATCGATGAAACCAGCCTCGAGATCAGTGTACCAATCAAAAGCATTTCCTTTTTAAGGAATAAACAAACTGCTTGACAAGATAATCTCCATAGGTTCCAGCATTGTTACATGTTTCGACGAAGTGTACATTGTGTTGCTTTGGATTTACTTTACCATCGAATTGTTGAAATTTTGAGGGTTGATAACCTGCATGCATTTTCCAACTATCAATTCTCGCAGTGTATGGCTTCACATATGTGAGAGAAGACTTGGAAACAACATCGTACTTGTCTTTGATGGTTCCCATAACAAAGTCTTTCAATTGGTCAATATGAATAACCCTGTCAGATAAAATCTGAAGTTTCTTAGGTGTCATTGTTTGCTTTGCAGATGAGTGATAAGTTAGGATTTTAACGTGTTTTATGCCCCTACTTGCCTATGCTTTGGTTATAAATTGCTACAAAATAGTCCCATAATGCTCCCAAGTTGTACTTGATTGCAGGCTTGATCGACAAAGCGACAAATGTCAAAGATCGGCTCAAAAAGGAGTGAAACCTGCTCAAGTGTCAAAGACTAAGTAAGTTGAGGAAAAGAGAACCTAGTGCGGACCGCGCAAATGTGAATGCGACCGCACTAGGAGGTTCAGAGGATGGCAGTTTCAAGTGGGCATGCTACGCGACCGCGGTTGGATTCTCGCGGTCCGCGGTCAGGCTCTGCGGCCGCGCTACTCTTTTACGCGGTCCGCGGAGCAGAGATTCAGAGAGCCATAATTTTGCCAATTCCAAGCAATGCGGCCCGCGTTCATTTCTGTGCGGCCGCGCCAACTTCCACCGTGGCCGCGCTACATTTCTACGCGGTCCACGGTCCCCAACTTCAGAGAAGCTGAAATCATGAGTCCAAGAGCCAGTGTGGCCGCGGTCCTTTTTGCGCGGTCCGCGCTGACCCCGCAGGGGTATTTTTGTCCAGTTTTTCCAGCCTAGTATAAATAGGACCTTTTACCATTTTTAGGTCAAGTTTTATGTTCTGAACGCAGCTGAGCTTGTGAGACCGGATATTGTAGCCATTTTTGGCACTTTTGCTCTTTATTATTATAGTTTCTTCCTAGTAATTAATTAATATGCTTACTTCTTCATCTATTTCTTTAATTTATATACCTAGCATGAGTAGCTAAACCCATTAGCTAGGGTTGTGGCTCAAACCTAGTGTGGGTAATTGATGGGTGTT